CGGAGGTGTCTTTTTTTCACGAATTATATCCGGATTTTTCGTTTTATCGCTTGATTGAAGTTCTGAATTTTGGGTTTTTTAATTTTTGTAGGAGGATGAGTTGCTTCGAGCTCAAGTCTCTGCCCATGGGACAGAAAAGTTAGTCCTTTTATGCCTTTTTTGGGGAAAAGATGACATTTTTAGGGTTTTGACGTGTATAACATTTTAAATTTACCTTTTTTTCAGTTGGACGAGTATTGCAACTAGGTTCAAGGACAAGACTAGCAGGCAGTGCAGAAGAAGGTAAATTCCTTGAAATTTGAGGTATTTAGCTAAATTAGGCAGATTAATGGAGTAAATATGAGGTTTTGTTGTGCAAATAAGTTGAAAATTTTGGTGAAAACTGGAATTTTCAAGCCAAAATGGTGAGGGAGAAGAGCTCACATTCCCATCAGAAAGTTTCACCATAATCAAATGACATTTACGAGTGAATTTGTTACCTCTAGAGGGATGGATTCTCTGAAATGCCGATGATTCTAATTTTAACGGTTTTACTTGAAATGCAACTGCAGATGGTGCACCTACTTGAATTCAGAAGGGAAGAAAGGCGGTTGGTCGCCAGAAGAGGACATGATCTTGTGTGAGGTAAGCTATCTATAATTTATGGATGATGTTTTGTTTGAAATGTAAAATATTTAAGGTTATTGAGATCTTAATTGAGCGAAAAGATGCAAACTTATACTGTCGCTATCGTTAAAAGGACTTCCTTTGGATGGGCTTTATTGACTTATCTTCAGCATTAGTTTTGTTTAATTATGCATTTGTTTGATTCTTATCTACAAGAATTTTAGTAGTAATTTCAAAGGTTTTATCTATAATAGCTGCGGGTAACTTAGACCTGGCTTGGTTGTAGCTCGAGGATTTTGGGCTTATAATAATTTCATTATAGTGGGAACCTTTTTGTCCGTGCGATAAAATATCCCTAGGCTGACATTAACTTTTCACATTGATCTGCGAGACACCTATTGCTGCATTTTCTGCCAGTTTCTAAGAAAGAGAGAAATGTTCTTGGTAGCTCTTGTTAGGAAATCTGTTATATTCAAGTGTAAAGTACTAAATCAGTGCTTCAGATCATCTGAGTTTTGTTTGCTGAAACTTTGTACCTTAAGTTACTTTTTCACGCTTAATGGGTTCATGATCTTTTTGCATAAATTTGATGTATAGGCTCAAAAGATATTTGGGAATAGATGGACTGAGATAGCAAAAGTGGTCTCGGGCAGGTACTTACCATTTCTTGTCAACCTTTGCTCCCTTTGTTCTAACCCCGCAATAATAATAATAATAATAATTTGTGATGAATGTCTTTCATTTATGCAGAACAGATAATGCTGTGAAAAATCGCTTCTCTACACTTTGCAAAAAACGAGCAAAGACTGATGTTTCAGCAAAAGATTATGACAATTCATGGTTGAACCCAAATGACAAAAGGGTCATAACTGAGAATGAATCTTTTAGGGCTGAGGGAGCAGAATCATTAGCACCCACAAAACGTTTAAGGTAAAAATGATTTTCTTTTTCGGGATCAGCAGCGGTAACAAGATTAGTCAGATTGTCATGTCAGTGATATTTTATTTTTCATGTGGATATGCTAATGGGTTTGTTTTGCCTCTGAAAGACAGATTTCAGATATTAGATTCTAGAGAAAATCTCAACCCAAATAAGAGATTAGCAAAGCAACCTGTAATGGAGGAAGTGCAGTTAAGGTCTCCTCTTTCTGTGCTTCACCAAAACATAAACAACATTGGTGGATTGCCAACTCAGCATCCAGATAATAACTCTAAACTAGCAATCCATAATGGTATGTTTATTGTGTACTTCTGTTTCTCTGTTAGTTCACATTTCACAGTTGAGTGGTCTCGAGTTATTGAAATATCTCCTAATTTGAAGCTAGCACAGGAACAAGCAATGAGACCAAGGGAAGTTTTCTCAAGAGAGATGATCCAAAACTAATTGCACTATTGCAGCAAGCAGAATTGCTTAGCTCTCTTGCACAAAAAGTTAATTCGGAGAATTCCAGTCAGAGCTTTGAAAATGCCTGGAAGGTGACAAAACATAAACAGTCTAAAGTTCCCATTATTGTTAGTAAATAAAAAAAAGTAAAGGTGTATTAGAGTGTATTATGGTATAATATGGTTTACTTATCAGGAACTCCAGGATTACTTAATCAAGACTGGGTGCAGTGGCATTTCTCCGACGACGCCAGACATGGGGTTTCTGCTTGAAGACTTTGACAGCCTGATAGAGTATTTAAAGAGCGAGAGTACAGAAGAGAAACTGTCATGGAGGTAAAGATAATGTCAAAAACTTCGTTTATTTATCGTTCATAAATCCAGAGTTTTGTTGAATGACGTAGCATCAAATAATTGGCTAGATCACTCCACAGGGAACCTTGTTTCTTGGATTCTCAGGACAGTTCTGAGTGCAGTACAGAATCGGTTCAAATATTTCAAGTTCCTACAATTGATAATTGCCAGACTGATGACACAATTTCTAAGCAGAATGCCAACTTCATTTGTACTAAAGCAGATGAGTTAGATCCAAAAGTATACAATTCTAGAGGTATAAAATGTTTAGGAAAAATATGCAATCACATTTGTTCTTTCTTTTCAAGTTTGCAGTCATGTTATGTCCTTTTCGTTTCAAATTTGATTAATTAAGGTTTTAGTAGGGATAAAACATAATTATATTTCTTCTGCAGTAGGAGCCTTGGCTCCTTCAGAAGAACTAAAAGAAGTTGCTGGAAGCATTTGCAATAGAACAGATGCAGAGTTTGACTCACCTCATCAAACAATACCTTCTTTCAAATCTCTCACAGAAGGAGTTCCCACCCCAGAATTTTCAGCAAGTGTAAGTAATTCAACTGAATCTCTCTGCTACTTTTAAAAGGATTCCCATATGTCCTTCTGTTCTTATTCAAGCCTCCATAACATGTTCTGGCCAATCTGATGTGAGATGCAAATTTAATAACTATGATGTTTACCAGTTCACCTGGTGTTTTGGTAACTTCAACCCTTGCCCATTTTATATGCTAAAAGTTCCTCTCTCGCCTATTATTTCCTTGGCTAGGAATTTCCATTGACTTATAAGAAGGCCAATGGCAGGTTGATAGTTGACAGTAGAATTTGGCTATGAAAATCTTAGTTCAAGATGTTTCCTATAAAAGGGTTTCTACTATAATTGCCTGCTCATATACTACAACTGTCACAACCCTAAACCCGAAGGAAGTGTGGAATTGGAGAACCGCGTAACATTTCCTCCAAGTATAACACACATCAACATTTATCAAACAACTACCAAATTTCCACTTCTCATATGAATCAAAATCCATAATAGTTATCTTCTATAATTAATGACCTGCATAATTAAAAAAAAAGAACCTTCCAATTTTGAAATGAAATTTAATCTAAGAGGATATCTCGTCGTTACATAATCATCCAAGATTCAACTAAAATCAAATTATTTATTTAGCCTTTATGGCTTCACCTGTAATACTATAATTGATTTCTATATGTTTTTATATAAACTGGATTAACACTAAAGTTGTTTGTATATTTGATGGAGTCTTATTTACATTGTTCAGGAGAAGCGGTTCCTACTCAGTGTGCTTGGTGTGTCATCCCCTGCTCCTGATCCAAGTTCTGCCCAGCCACCATCCTGCAAAAGGATTCTTCTTGATAGCCTCTGATAATCTATATGGTATTCTGTATATCTTCCGTTATCCTCCATCCCTTTCAATATCATCATTCTAGAACTTTCTAAAGTACCATCATCATCATCACTTTCTGTCCTGCCGATTGTTTTTGATACTCTCTGCATGGTCTCCTCTTCACCCATTTTTATCAAAGGGTGGTTTTTGCATGCATATAGAAAGTCTGAAGTTTTCTTGCGTGCCACGAGTAGGAAAATCGTGTTATGTTGCCTTCCTGTTGTTTGGTGTCAAATTTAGAAGTATGGTTTTCGAGTTGTTTCTTCCTATAGGTTTGCCCCTTTAAAGTCACTTGATTTGTTATTTGTTGTATATGATAGCTTCTCCATAAATTTCCTAGAGTGTAACTATACATGTCATATTCACCAAAAGTGGGAAAAAGGTCCTGGAATGTTCTCTAGGGTATATTGTATCATACAGAATAAAGTCTGGTTGGTTGTGTGAAATCTGTAGCTATTGGTTCTTATATAGGAGATGAGAGCCTATAGTTGGTTGTGGTTGCGTGTGGTATATGAACTCAATATGAGATTCCCCCTCTTGACATATGTGATATTATGTTTGTAAACAAAAATACAGAATAATATAAATGCATGTTTTGCGTGTGAGATTTTTGCGTAACTTTTATCTCATATGAATAGTTTTTCTTTCAGCTGTCTATTATGTGGATCTTTGAGGAATTTCAGTGTGTTTACAATAAATATAGAACTTAGGACCTCTTGTTCTATATGGCTTTTATGTCATTTGGAAAGCGGAGA